TTTTTTCAACATTACCCCTTTTTAGTAAAAGTTGGTATTACGACTAATGGGACTACTAGTCGGTAAATGCTGTTTATGGGCTTTTCAGGATTTAAATACTATGATTATGGTTTTAAGCGCAAGCATATGCAAATGCACGGAAAAAATAATACAGTAATCAACTTTCCTTTGGTATCTAACTACATTTCAGGTTTACGAGGTAATTGCATCCAATGATGACACTGAAGTTAGAAACGCATCCGTTTTTGTAAGTTTAGAGAGTATTGTTTCTCTGTGATGGCCTTAAGAACTTGCTATTTAGGAGGATGACATCCTTTATCGAAACGGGGAGCTAATGGATGAACTGCGCAGAGCTTTATCAGGCCGAGCCACAGAATTTGCCACTCGGGAGCGACGTGCTCTTGCTGCTTTTTATGGGATATCTGATGCTGAGTTGGGCAAATTAGAAGAGGAGCAGAAGAATCAAAAGCCCGATACAGATGATACGCAAAGAGAGGTAATTTACAGGACTAGCAACGTTATCTGTGGTGTATAATCTTAATTGGATCGCAGTCAATTTGGATCCTTAATTAAAATAGACTAAAAGCATTTTTCGAGGTTAAGCTTTGGTTTTTAACCATAATATTATTGTGACACACAATACGAAACATTGCTTATTTCAAATTAAGCTAATAACCACTCTAAATTTGATTTTGTGAAAATGATGACGGTGGCATTGCAGAAGTGTGTAAGGTGTAGCTCTAGTGATTGATCACGAGGTGTATGAAATGGTAGTCACGCAACTAAGCTCCTTTTTTTGAACAAATCAAAAAGTTTGCATGGCTTGGTTTTTTATGTGATGATCAATTCATTTGAAAAGCTACCATAAATATAGCGTAGAATAGAGTTAAAGATCGGAATGGCAGCATTTAGATGTTTGCCAGGCCCAATGAATTATCAAAGTCAAGCTGCAGCCTTTTGCAAAACTCCCTTTTCTCGCAACTCAACGTCCGACATTAGGCACTTATTAGTTGCACCCAAAAACATTGTTTTTTTTTTAAATTTTGAACCATTTTGAGCTTATTGTTAGATAGTTATATAGAATAGTCTCAAGCAGTC